GAATGGAAACAAATGTTATAACCAATGGTAAAATTTTTTATCACTTTAATGGATAATTTCCATGTAAAACTAAGTTAAACGAACACTAAATTTTGATTAAAAAAATGATTTTTTAGGAAACAAATTTTTTTTTCGTTTTTTTTTTTTACTTTTTCGCAATGGAAACAAATTTTATAACCAATTGTGGAAAAAATTATCACTTTAACAAACACTTTCCATGTAAAACAAAGCCAAACGAATAGAAAATTTAAAAATTTTTCGGGTGGAAAATTATACAAATCAAACACACTTGAAATCATTTTCCTTGCAAAACATTTTTTAAGCAAATCTTTTCCCTATAAAATATTTTCTTTCCACCTATTTTTCACCATTACAATCAAACGCAGCCTTAGATTTTTATGTTAGATGAAATTGACATTTCATGTATGACAAAATATAAATTGATAATAATACTACTAGACAAAATGAGTAGTCGCTACTGGCCAATAGTGATTGACAAATTTTATTTTTTTTAATTTAAATCAAAGTGAACAATTAATTTAAATCACATATTTTATGGAGCTCGTAACTTTTCAACCACTTATATTACCAATTTTTATCAAAATATATTAAATGCAAACCAAGAGTCACTTTTCACTAACTCATTCCTCTAGAGATTATTTTATCTATAGAAGGTGTGAAAAGTCACTACCCTTTAATCATTTTCCATCCACCCCGTTTCTTCCTTACCAAATACGGTTGAGAAATTGACTAAGTAACAAGTAACGAGCTCACATGGGGTTTGTTCTGAATACGAGAAGCACCGATCACATGTATTAGTATATTCGTTACTATGGAAACTGTTGAAGAATGACATAAACAAAGTAGATAAAGGTGGAGATCTTTATTGACCTTCATAATGCAGCAAGTGTAGTTTATTATTTGTGAAAGAAAGTCTCAATTCCTAGAATAAGTTCATTTTTTTAATGTATAACATGATGAGTTGAAGCTACATCCGAGTAAGCTCGTGTTTATCTTCCAGTCTTTCAAAATATTTTTTTCTATGTACTCATTTTTAACTATATAGTCACACAATAAAATATTCTACATATAAACCTAAAACTTTTCACTACTTTTTAACTACGCATTCTTCAAAAATTCACTATTCAAAATATTTTTTTTTTCTAACAAAAAAAGGCTACTAAACGGGCTAAATATGTATTTCAAACATATTTGTGTGACAAAATTTTTGATAAAAAAATTAGAGGGGGTGACTGTTCTCAACTGAGATTTTAATAGATGTTGAAAAAAATTCTAAATTCAAGTGTCCCCAATTGATATTTTAATTGATTTTATTATTAAAATGTAGTTGTCATCAATCAAATTTTATTGGATTTCGATTAAATCCTTTAAAATCTAGGTATCATCGGTTATTATTGAGGGCCTAATTGAGCTCCAATTTTAGTGTAGAATGCATTTTAGAATAGTAGATTGATGGAGAATGTGTTGTTAAAAAAAAGTTTTGAATTTATGTGTAATGACATTTTATTGAAAAATGTATGGTTGAAAATGAGAGCTAGAAAAATGTATTTTGAAAAAAAAAAAAAAAGATCAAACAAGTGCTGAATTTATAAAGATTTCATTAGTAGATGGATTTCAAAATATTTAGATAGATTTCAAATTTGAAATTGTATGTAATAAACTCTTTTGAAATGTCATCATTTTAAGTAAGATTTTTATGGATTGCGTGAAAATATATTCAAGTTCACAAAATTGTCAACACATAAATGATAGAATCTAATTTGATTGGATCAATTAAGGTGTTTGGATAAGGAATAAATCAAGGATGGGAAATACTTCTTTTTTCAAGATAGTAATAAGTATCTAGGGAAATAAAAGGTTCTACTATGATAAAGGAAAGGGAAAAAAAAAAAAAAGCAATGACGTGACAATAAAATCCTAAGTGGTAACTTTTAAATTCGGAGAAATTCCGTAATCAATAAAAAATGTCAATCCTGCGTCAAATCCTATTTTCCTTCCGACCGATCAACAAAAAAGATTGATGCAGAGACTCAATGAAAGTTGTTTTAACAAGTGGATTAGATCGAGTTGGGAGATGAAACTTTGCATCAAAACTTTATAAAGGATGAAGGGTAAATGTATATATTGAATACTAGTATGGCAAGAATATGGTGTTAAAACGTTAGTTTAGGTGATGTTATGTAATAAGCTCAATAAAAAAATATTAAACAATTCATTTAATTGTACATCTCATTTAGTGCCAACTAAACTGGTGTTATAACGCTAGCGATACTAAATAGCATCACTCGTATATCAAATGATTAGTGATGATACGAATCTCTATTTGTATTTCTTTATATGAGAAAATAGAAGAATGAATCCACATTGAAGAAATAATAATACATTCATTGATCAAATCATTCTGACATTCACTCTATAATATGATAGATTTTTTTTAAAGAACAAGCTAATCAAACGAGAATAAAGATAGAATCTCATTCTATACTTCAATACTCGCAACAACGAAATTTATAGTAAAATGATTTTGAAAATTGTGAGAGTTAAACTCCCTCTATTTAGAGGTGGGCGAAAAAATTCGAAAAATAAACTAAATCAAACTGAGTCGGGTTGATTTGAACAAAAAAATCGTTTTGGTTCGATTATTTAGGCTCCGTTTGGGAACCATTCTTTCTTCAAATAATACATTTTTTCTTTCACATCAAGTGGGGTTCATGGCTGGAAAGAGACACAAAAAATGTGTGATTTAACACAAATAATGCATTTTTTTGTAGAAAAATGATTACCAAACGAAGACTTAGCTATAAAAAAATCGGATCTGGATGGTTGCAGTTTAACCAACCAACCCGTCAAATAATCGGCTCAACTCTTACTTTTTTTTTTAATTTTAAAATTCATATCTCTAAACTTATATATATATATATATACACTAGGTGCAAGCAACGTGCAATGCACGTTTGTCTAGTTTATATTTAATAGTTTTGTCTAAGAAAGAATTTGTTATTAATAAAGATGTAATTTTTTTGGTTAATTAAATAATTAATGATGTAATGTTTATGTAATTGATAAATAATTAGATGTGTGATTTTGATGTTGTGATGTAAGTTGGTGAGATCGAAGAAAATAAGCAAAAGTTGACAAATTTGGAGAAATGGCTAAATTGTAAGGGATCCAAAGTTTGGGGACTAAAATATAAATACTCAAAAGTTGTACCGAACCCCACGATGAATATTTGAGAGTGCTCGGAGTCAATTGGATAAAGGAAGACGTCAATGGAATCAGATTTAGTCAAAAGATGATCACAAATCAATTTTCAACCGAAAAGTTATGCTTCGATATTTTAGTCCCATATTGAGACCTACTTTTGGCATAGAAAGTGATCGAATTGGAGAATGATATCTGAATCAAAATTGTAGCCAAATGAGTTAGCTTTCCAACACATTTTGAATCGCCTCAATCGGATATCAGAATACAAAATTATGATAAAAATATTGAAAGAAGGTACAACTGCCTATTTAAAACAAGAAATTCCGTTACATAGTCCTTTAAAACAACAAATTTCGTTAGTTTTTCCGTTAAAAACAAGAAATTCCGTTACATAGCCACTTTTAATATATAGATTTGTATCCAGATGAGTTAGCTTTCCAGCGCATTTTACATCGTCTCAATAGGATATCGGAATACAAAGTTATGATAAAAACACTGAAGGAAGGTGCAGCTGCCTGTTTAAAACAAGAAATTCCGTTACATAGTCCTTTAAAACAACAAATTTCGTTAGTTTTTCCGTTAAAAACAAGAAATTCCGTTACATAGCCACTTTTAATATATAGAAGATACACACACACACACAATTAAAATTTCAAATTCCAAAAGAAAAGAAAAGCAACGAGAAAATTTGTCTATTGTAAACTCAAAATTTCGATTGTAGTCTTGTTTTTCATTTTGATGTAATTATTTGTTGGTAACTATTGGATATATAGGATGATTTTAGAAAAATCGACATTTTACAATTTACATTATATATGTATAATTAATACTCAATACTTAAGCAAAAAAAAATAAAAATTATACATACATGCATACACATTTTTTAACCAAAAAAAATAGGTTAGCAAAGTTTTTTAACTTGGATAATTGTTCAAATTGACTAATCAAACCAACTCAAACCAATTTAGTTTGATTTGGTTCCTTTTCAGCAGCTAGATTATATCGATTTGCGTTGAAGTTTATTCAATTTCGAGTTGAGCTAAAAATCAACTCAATCCAATCCAATCCGAACCATTATCTCCAAAAAGCCTAATTAAATTCCCAAATATTTATCATATATGTGATTTATTATTTTTGTATTATTTGGAAGTGTGTAAATTAAAATTTAATCAATAGATCCCACGGAATAAAAGTGAGCAATAAATGCTT